GAGAGAGAGAGAGAGAGAGAGAGAGAGAGAGAGAGAGAGAGAGAGAGCGCAAGAGACCAAGGCCAGACAACAGAGGGCAGCAGAGACGCGGGCGAGAGAAGGATGTGGGGGACAGGGTAGGGACGATGTCCATCTGGGGTTTAGAGAGAAGTGAACGCCGACTAGGTCACGAGAACAGGTGTGAGAACAGAGTCGGGATGCGCGAGAGAGACTCGCGAGCAAGAGGATATGGGTGCCCAACAGAGATGTGGGGGCAGATTCCCCACTTCACCAGCAAGAGCGGTGGTTCAAGGGGTCCGATGTGGAGAGAGAAGCCGTTGGGGATGCACAGAGCACAGGCCGTCCTCAACCACCCTCGCAGGGCCGCGGGATCCCTGTCCCGAGTCCCATGCACCGGCACCGCCCGGCTTTCGTTTCTGTGCGTCAGTCCTCCTTCTGTTGTCTTGGCAACAGGCTCGTTGCCCAGCAACCAGCCTTGCTATCACCCTCCTGGAGCCTGGCGGTTTCTCTGGGCAACAGCGGTCTGCTGGTTCCCACGCCTGCCTTCGCCCACTTCCGGTTCAAGCCCTTGGGAAGGGCAAGGAAGGGGCAGAAGAGGGTGGTTGGGGGATGCCTGCAGAGAGGGAGCGTCCCTTTGTGATGGAATTGGGTTCTCCCAAAGCCCGCCCTGGGCCTGGAAAGGCTGAGATTAATTCCCAACGTGCACTGAAAGTCTTTGATGCGCTGAAAGCTCAATGGACGCTTGGGGGTAGGAGTGGGGGGGGATAGGGTACTTGGGTACCTCTGCAGGAAGCACCGCAGGAACCCGACGCCATGTTCCCGGAACCCCCGACCCCTGGCTCTCCAGCGCCTGAGACACCTCCAGACTCCAGCCGCATCAGGCAGGGTGCAGGTGAGAGAAATCTGGGCAAGCCCAAGTGGAAAACTCCCGCAGGATCTCTAGGGGCGGGACTCAGATGCAAAGACTTGGGTTGGTGAACTGGAAAATCCGGCAGGGATCATGGGTCAGAATCCCAGACTAGAATCTGAACTGCTGAAAAGTAGAGACAGGTCTGAGAGGAAAACCAGAAGCGGATCAAGGGTGGGGCATGGAATGGGATCATAAATGGGTGAATGGAAACTGAGACCCAGGAGCGGGCAAAGAAGCTTCTTCTAAAAGCAATAGGAGTTAAGCAAACATCAGAATGCGTGTAGAGAGTCAGGACTGTAAGAAAGCAAATAAAAACAAAAAATCAAAAACAAAAACAAAAAAAAAAGAAAGCAAATCATGTCAGCGTGGGTTAGAGCATCAATTGAGTTTTACAGGTGAGATTGGTTGGAACGAAAACATGGGATTAAAGTGGGACGGAACTGGCTGGAGGGGCATCCAGGCTAAGATTCAAGCTGTCATAGGGAGTCAAGACTGAGCTAGCCAGCCGACTTCCCAGAGCTTCGATGCATGTTGTGTCCATCCTTCTGCAGTGCCAGCCTGGGTCCTGGCCACCATCGTACTGGGCTCAGGCCTCCTGGTCTTCAGCAGCTGTTTCTGTCTCTACCGGAAGCGCTGTCGGAGACGGATGGGCAAGAAGAGCCAGGCCCAAGCCCAAGTCCACCTTCAGGAAGTGAAAGAGCTGGGCCGGAGTTACATAGATAAGGTGTGACCCTTTCCTTTGCACACCCGACTGCCCCCAATGTCCCCAGCTGTCCTCTATCTTTGGTCCTTCACTTCTTAATCCCATTTTGTCTACTGGATTCTGGGGACCAGAGCTTGTAACTGTCCACAAAAACTCTCCAGTCTGAGCTGGGTGTGATGGTGTACATGTGTAATCCCAGCACTTGGGAGACTGAAGCAGTAGGGTTGCTGTGAGTTCAAAATCAACCAGAGCTATATAGTGCCTGTACCGCCAGCCTGGGCTAAAAAGTGAGACCTTGCTTCACAGAACAAAACAGGACTGAGAAGCTGGCTCAGTGGTTAAGAGCACTTGCTACTCTTACAGAGGACACAGGTTCGGTTCCCAGAACCCATATGGTGGCTCACAACCATCTGTAACTGTAGTTCTAGGAGACCCAACACCCTCTTCTGACTTCTGTAGGTGACAGGTACACATGTGGTAAACACACATACATGGGGGCAAAACACTTATACACATAAAGTAAATAAATCTATAAAACAAAACAAAACAAACAAAAAACCAGTGGGCAACATGGTTGCTAAGCAAGCATGAGGACTATAGTTCTGATCCCTTACCCACTCAAAAGCTGGGAATGGCCATGCATGCCTATAGCTCCAGCAGTGGGGGTGGGGAGGGAGTAGAAACAGGCATATTCCTGGAACTTCATGACCAGCCTGTCTAGGAGAAATGGTAAGCTTTCGCTTGAGTGAGAGACCCTGCCTCAAAAAGTCAGGTGGAGAGTAAGAGAGGAAGACACCCAAAGTTGATCTCTGACCTTCACACACGTGCACAGGAATAGATGAGTATACCAACATACACAGGCACACACACACACACACACACACACACACACACACACACACACCGCCCTAAATATTCTGGAGAAGTGACTTACTTAGGATGTTGTCATAAGCAGGGCACAACAGACATTGTGGTATGAACAGCCCATAGAGTCAGAGGAAGTTTCCTGATGACTTCTGTGGCTAGACCAGAACGACAGAGTTAGCTGAGAGCCAGGACAAAAACATTCGGGTCAAAGGAAGAGCAGGTGTTGAGGACTGCTTACTGGGTTTTGAGGTGAAGCAATAGAGAGTTGTTCACAGTGTACCACAGTGAGGCATCTGGAAGGCTGAGCACTCTCCACATAATGAGGGCAAATGAGCCCTGTTGAGGTGTTTGCCCAAGATAGGGACACGGTTCTGGGAATGTAGTTCAACTGCTAAGCATTTTCCTGGCCATATGAAGCCCTGGAAACAGTCTCTGGCACCACATAAGGCGTGGTAGTGTACACCAGTAATCCCAGACCTTGGGAGGCAGAGGCAGGAGGATCCAGAAATTCGAGAATATCTGTGGTTACATGGCAAGCTGGAGGCCAATATGAGCTATACGACAGCATGTCTGAGAGAGAGAGATCCAGCATATATGTCATGTATATGCACCAACGGGCCCACCCACCCACACAGTCATCGAGGACTCAGGGGTTGTGGAGAGTGGTGAAGAGCACTTGTTCCTCTCCCAGAGGACCACGTTCTGT